GACAAAGAATGCCATTTATTACTATCAGTAAATGAAGAGTATGAATCAGTCATTACAGCTATAGAAACAATGAATACAACTATTAAAATGGACTTTGTAAAATCCAGACTATTAGATGAAGAAATGAAACTTAAATCAAAACAAGGTAAACCAACTAATGTTAATGAAATGTCATTTCAAGCAAATCAGCCAATAATTTGTTATAAATGTCACAAACCAGGACATAAGATATCAGAGTGTCGCCAATTCAAAAGTGGGAATAAAGGTCACAATCCAAGAGGCAACTTTCAAGAGCATTCAAGAAGTACATATATACAAAGTACTACAAATCATAGACGAAATCAAGGTGGTAAGCAATCACAGGCGAACCAAGCAAATGAATTAGCCTTCATCGCATTAAGTGGTGTAACTACGTGTGACATAGCTACTCTCAATGTAGAGACATTCATTCTGGATTCTGGATGTACACAACACATGGTAATGGAAGAAATGGTTGAATATATGGTAGATGTAAAACAAATCAACAAAGTGAAAATTGGAACTGCAAAGAATGGAGAGGTATTGATAGCAAATAAGGTAGGTACAGTAAAAGCTACATGTCAGGGACGAGATATTAAAATAGAAGCACTTGTTGTTAAAAGTATATCACATAACCTCATTTCTGTATCTAAATTATTAGAAAAAGGTTTTAAAGTAACATTTGTTAATGATATTAATGGTAAAAGACAAGCTATAATAAATAAAAATGGATCAAAATTTCAGTGTGAAATGTTGAATAATTTATTTTGTTTAAAGGTAGATTTTGTTAATAAAAAATATAATTATTGTAATGAGACAAACCATATAGTAAGTTATGTAAATGAGACTATAGATGATAATTTATGGCATAGGAGATTAGGACACATAAATAGGCACAATTTAAAAATATTAGAACTACCTTATAGTTCAGAAATTTGTAAAGATTGTATGGAAGGTAAAAGTACTCGTAAACCATTTTATAAATGTTTTAAATACACAACAAAAATTCGTCAGTTGATACACTCAGATATTTCAGGTCCAATATCTACACCAACATCTGAAGGTTATAAATACTTTCAAGTATTAATAGATGATTACTCGCATTTTTTAGTAGTAAGATTATTAAAAAATAAACATGAAGCTGATCAAAATATTATTAAGTTAATTAAAACTCAGCATAATCTAAAAACGCAAAGAATTAGAGTTGATAATGGTGGTGAATTTACATCTAATGCATTTAGAGATTTTTGTAAAAATAAAGGTATTAAAGTGGAATATACAATGCCATATACTCCACAAGAAAATGGGATTTCAGAGACAATGAACAGAAGCTTATTAGACAAAGTAAGGACCAAATTTGCTGAAACTAATCTACCAAGAGAGTTATGGGGAGAAGCAATTCTGTGCTCAGCATATGAATTAAATAGAACACCTACTAAAGCAAACAATGGTGGAACACCTGCCACAAGATGGTACAATAAAAATGATTTATCAAAAATGAAAGTATTTGGAAGTAAGGCACGAGCAGTCTTACCAAAACAAAGCAAATTAGAAAGAAGAGCACAACCTTGCATAATGATAGGATATACAGGAGCTGGATATAGATTATGGAATTATGAAATTAATGAAATTTTTTGTTCAAGAGATGTTAGATTTGATGAAACTTTAACTAATTATGATGAAATCACTAAGACCAATATGATGGACGATACAAATAAGAAAACAATAGAAGTACAATATGAAAATGAACTGCAAGGGGCAATAAATGATATAGAGATAGAAATTCAAGATGATGATTTAAATGAAGCTAATGAAGATGAAACAGAGAATATAAGTTCAGAAAATTATGAAGAATGCATGCCAAAGATAGAAACAACAAAAACAGGAAGAAAAATAAAAGCACCCAAATATTTAAGTGAATATGAGACTTATATAGCTTATTGTTTAATATCAACAGAAGAAAATGATCCTTTATGCTATGAAGATGCCATAAAAGATCCTGAATGGGTAGAATCCATAAGAAAAGAGCTACTTTCACATGAAAAGCTAAGTACATGGGCAGAAGTAGAATTACCTAAACATAAAAAAGTTATTCAAACAAAATGGGTTTTTAGAACAAAGGATGATGGAACTAAAAAAGCCAGAATAGTAGCCAAAGGTTTTCAAATTAAGGAGGAGAGTGAATTTAAACCAAATTACTCACCAGTAGCAAGAACATCAACAATTAAACTATTTTTATCAATAGCATTACAAAATGATTGGAAAATCAGACAAATGGATATCCCAAAATTTTTTAGGTATGAACATTACTAGGACAGAAGATACCATTAAAATTGATCAAGAAAGATTTTTAGAAAAACTTTTGGATCATTTTAATATGAAGGAATGTAAACCAAAGAAGACTCCAATGGAAAAGGGATTTCAATACATTGAGGACAGTGAAATTCTAACTAATATTCCTTACAGGCAATTAATTGGAGGACTGATGTATTTATCAACAACAAGTAGGCCAGACATTAGTTATGCAGTGTCATACTTGAGTAGATTTTTAGATTGTCCTACTACAGAGACATGGAATGCTGGAAAAAGAATTTTAAGATATCTACAAGGAAGTAAGAAACTGGGATTAACTTATTATAAAAATACAGATTGCCAGATAACACTCAATGGATATTCAGATGCCGATTGGGCAACAGATAAGAAAGATAGGAAAAGTGTAAGTGGATGTATATTATTATATGGTAATAACCCAATATCATGGTTTTCAAAGAAACAAAACTGTGTGGCATTATCAACAGCTGAAGCTAAATACATTGCAGCAGCACAAACAGCTCAAGACTTAATCAATGTCAAGGGTATACTGGGAAATTTTGATGTAATTGTCAAAACAATTTTATACTGTGACAATAAAAGTACAATTTTAATATCTAACAGTAATGAAAATTCGAAAAGAGCAAAACATATAGATATAAAAAATCATTTTTTAAAAGACTTAATTTCTAAGAAAGAAGTTGTAATGGATTATATATCAACTGAGCAAAATTTAGCTGATATTTTAACTAAATCTTTATGTACCGAGACTTTCATAAATCTAAGAAATAAAATTTATGTTATATGAATTGTAATATCATTTTGTTAATTATAATAGTTACGATTTTCATGTTCTAACATTTCAAATCGAGGAGGAGTATTGGAATTTTGTGCTTGGCAACACTGGCTCACAATGTCTTAAGTGATTCCGGTTGTCATATGTCAATTGTAAAAAAAATATATTTTCTAGAATGTAGCACATGTTTAGTTTTTAGTACTTTTGTAAAATAAAGTAATCAAATAATTACCTGCTATCTCTGTATTACCTCACTGGGAAACAACAAATTCTAATAGGCCCCTCAGATGAAGTACAAATGGAGGTAGGTGTCAGACAGGGAGACTCCCTATCAACAACATTATTTAACATTGCCGTAGAGGGGGCAGTAAGAGCAGCCAAAATTATGGGAACGATTATCGAATCTTCAGCCCAACTGATAGCATATGCAAACGATATTGCACTGGTTACTAGAGATTTAAAAACCATGCAGAACATAATATTAATACTAGATAAAGAAGCAAAGAAGAGAGGGCTAGTAATAAACCAAAGCAAAACGAAATACCTCAAGTGTTCCAGAGAGAATACGAACATAGAGAAAGAAATTAAGCTTGGTGCATATACATTTGAAAGAGTACACCGTTTCAAATACCCGGGAGTGATGGTGCATGACAGAAATGATAGAACGGATGAAATAAATGAACGCATCCTACTGAGTAAAACCTACTGGAACTACCAAAAATTTCTGAAAGAAAAGCACATTAGTAAGAAAACCAACTTAAAAATTTACAAGACTGCAATCAGGCCAGTGATCACCTATGGTGCAGAGACGATGTGCCTAACACAAAAAGATGAAATGAGGTTGGAAATCTTAGAGAGAAAGATAATTCGACGAATAATGGGACCGGTGAGGATAAGTGTAGGCGAATGTAGAAGATTAACCAATGAAGAAATTAAAAAAGTCATCGAGGATGAAGACATAATCAAGTTCGTAAAGACGCAAAGGCTCAGGTGGCTAGGGAACACAGAAAGAGCTAACCCAGACTCTACTCTAAATACTTTACGCGAATAACTGGATGGAGACCAACAACAAAGAGACCAAAGGGAAGACCCAAAACAAGATGGAGAGATCAAGTCTTAGGAGACATAAATAAGCTAAGAATCTACAATTGGAAGGAGCGCTGTAAGGACCGGAAAGAATGGAGGAAAATTGTAGACAAGTCCAAGTCGCACACGCTGCTATAATAATAAAAAAAAACAACAGCGGACTGATTCTCCGCAATAAATGAATCAGAGAGCCCAAAAGGGCGGCAAACACTCCGCCAGGAGTGAATAAGCCATGATGATGAATTGTAACTTGAAAATACCTGTCAAAAAAGATAGCGTGTGATTTGACTTTAAAAAGGTAACCACACCCAATCATAACAGTAAAATTTTCTTCTTAGTAATCCCTTGGAAATAATGAGGAAAACCCAGAAAAAACTCTTGATACTATCCTAACACGGTCAGTAATTGGTCTTACATTAAGTTTGCTCCTAATATTAACAAAATTCTAATTTTATATGTATATGATTTTAAAACATAAATGATGTGTTGTCCTCAATATGTTATTAACTTACTAATAGTGGTATTTTATTTTTAAATGTTTCTTCTTTTAATATCTGTAAAAAATAGGATTTTTTTTTGTGTATTACCAAGTAACAAAACAAAATAATTAGTTTAATTTGTATTTTCAAAACGATTTCTGTGGAATTGGAAATCGAAACCTCAAAATACACTCATTTTCAATTAATATAGTGGTTATTGCCCATTAAAAATAGTCGATACTTTCTTTTTCATTTATGATTGACATTAATATTGATTTATATTAGATAAAAATATGTCGTATCTTTTATAGGCGTTATTAAAATTCTTTGAAATGCCAGTGGACGCAAGCATACTACCCGATGATCATTTCATAGAAGTAGATGATACTCCCACATATCAGACAACTAGTGCAAAACTGAATTTTGCCAATACTACCAAGAGCGATCCTCTCCAAGGTAAGTACTCCACTCTGAATATAAGAACGAACAGTGAAGTACAGTTTAATCTAAATTCGAAGCGTGAAAAAATAACGTATATAATAAAATCTGATACAAAGCAATATACATGGAGACAGTAAATATAACTAAATATACCAAAAGTTAAATATATCCAAACCATGTAAAAAAAGTTAAACAAAAAAGTACCTAGCACAAATGTATATATGCTGACTGGAGATATATCTTTAAGTCTAGTTTTTAAAATTGAATTCTATTTTTCTGTGTGTTTTCTATGTTACATGAATATCGTAAAGGGCCTTTTTAGTTGACCAATCAGGTATGATGTACTTTTTGCCTGTCGATGCCCTACAATAAATGTGATTCCATAGTAGGTAAGTTATCGAGAAATTCATTCATTGATTTATTTTACAATTCAAAAGAATTAGATTTCTTGTTTTTTTTAGATTCAATGGTTGAGATACTGTTTACTTCCTCTTTATTTCCCCTTTTATGAACACTTTTTGTTTGTCTTGTCTCCTTCCAGTTTAAGACACACCATTTCTGTATGCACAATGTGTTTAAAAACATTGTTTTGCTTACTCTTATTAACTGTTCACCTTTTTTTTTTAATTATATATAACAGAACAATTTCTTCTTGTTACAGATTCATTTTTTCTGTCTCTGTGACGTTGAGTTTTTACTATTTGTATTACATAAATATCTTTTCTCTCCCAAGTCATTTTTTCTCAAAAAGTACTAAATATATTTTGTCTGTCGTCTTCTGTAATCAAAGAACATCTAATTTTACAGTCTTTGCCCCGTTCCTTACATTTACATCTTGTGTTTAGTGTCCTAGGAGGTCTCAGAACTCTATTATTCCAAATGTTATTATCTTTCTTTCTTCCAAAATATCTTTGCCCAGTTTCTCTATTCTTTCTGTTTTCTTCATAAACCCAAGTAGATTTATCCACTTGGTATCTTTTTCTTCTTTTTATTTTTACTGGCCCCAAATTTTCAGATTGATTGTCAGAATCAGAATTGTCTAAATAGTTCACCAGACCGAATCCTTCGTTAGATGCATCACTGAAATTTTACTGGGGTCTTTCAGCAGATCTACTACTGCCTGGTTTATTTATTATATCAAAATAATTTTCTGAGCTACATGTGGCAGTAGTATTATGTGTTTCTATTTCATTTTTAATAACAATTTCGTTATTATAATTCAGTTCATTTATTGCATCAAAGTCGTTTTCTGAGCTACATACTGCAGTAGTATCTTGTGTTTCTATTTCATATCGAATAACACTTTCATTATTGTAATTCATTAAAGTAGAGAATTCAAAATTTTGGAGTGAAGATGATGCATCAGAATAAGATGGTTTCGGAAAATTATTATTGATGAAAAGAATCTGATTAGAGAAGTCATTTGAATTCTTTATATTGTAGTCGTCTACTTGTTTAACTCCAACTTTATTATTATTTAATTAGGGTTCAATAAAAAGAAAATTAATTTGGTCAGTTTGAGGAGATATATTTTGCTGATCTATGAGTAGTAAAGGTAACTTATTTATAAAATTAACATCATTTTCTAGCTGGTTGATTAAATCTTTATCTGTTTTTTCCTGACTTGTTAATGTTCTATGGTTATTTTTTATATCTTGTTCTTTTGCCAAGGATACAAGTTTTTTAGAACGGGGTGACATCGTAAACTGAAGAGCTATAAATAAAAGAAATTTTGCTCAATCATAATTACACAACATTACTTTATAAAGTAATAATTGTTATTTGTTAGGTTTATAAAACTAACTTATAATTTAACAATATAACTCAAAATATTTTTGTTTCAATTAACAAAATTATTTCTGGAAAACTGCTAACTCCAAATTCGACATGTAAATTAACAATGAAAACCAGTTAACTCCAAGTAAGAAATTTTAAAGTTAATAAATCAAAAATTATTCAGAATAATTATGTTTAAATAAATACATACGCTTTCCTTTATATCACTTAATCACTTTATTAATAATTGAAGTAATTAGTTTCTATTTTTTAATGAAAAACTGAAGCGCAATGGGAAGTCTCTTTAACACCCTCACAAAATGTATTTAAAATGGCAACAATTAAAGGAGTTAGACGGTTTACATTATTCAAATTGAACTTCAAACGAATAGCTGTTTTACAGGTGGCGCGAATTAACGAAAACTGTAAATATGTTAAGTATTTTAAGATCATCAAACGACAGATTTTATTTTTAACAGATGGCACAATAATCTAAATTTCATTAAAAAGTGGAATTAGCCACTTTACAGTTTAAGCCATCGATATTTGACAATATTTTTGGATGAGTTCTTTTTTAATTGTTCAGTTTCTCAATAATTAACCAATATACTTGTTTTAGCTATTACCGAACCCCGACAGTTTCTGATTCAAAGTTTAGCAACTCTTGGAAATTCTCAACCTGGACGACTTCCGGTATATATCAGCAACATGGATGTACAAGTTCAGACAATACTAAATAGTTACCTATCTAAGTTTGCTGTTCAGCTGGTCTAACACTCTTAATAGTTAATTGTAGCCATATTTGTTAGTTTTAAGTTTTTAAACCTACATATTAAGTTTGGTAGTAATTTTTGAATAAATGCAAATTATTTTTAATAATAAACTGTATAATAATTTTTTGTCTTTTTTATAAACACAAATTGTGCGTTGCAAATAGCAACGCATTAATAGCACAGTGGTAAGTGAGTAATTTGTATTTTGAGAACGATTTCTGAAATAGAAATCGAAATATCAAAGAAAGAATTTTTAAATTAAAACTGGTTTATACCGATTAAATATAGTGTTAATATCAAGTTTTAGTATTAAGTACCTCCAACTCCTTAAATCAGTTGGATTCGGTTCGTCAAAGTGAATAGACGTGCGATACTTAAAATCTATTTAACGAAATCGGTGTTATCACCTTGTAATTAAAAAACTAGTTTTATTTATATAAAAATTACACATATCGATTTTCAAAAAACGTAAAATTTAAGTGGTTTAAAGATCATGAAGCGGGTAGAAAACCCCCGAAAAAGATGAGTTGGAAGGTGATATGGATGTGTCCCATCCGGATATTCCACCTTCTCCAGTGGAGGAATTTAGAGGATTTCAAAATATCAACCCTATTATACAGATAAGTACTGATCATGTTTCTGAAATTGTTTCCGAAAAAAATTTAAACGTAAACACGGTCATTAACACAATAAATCAATATTCTTCAAAAGATAATAAGCCATTTTTTGTTCAAAGTAAAACAGGTAAAATAGGCAATTTACAGAAAATAGCTAAGGCTAGACTAATAATTAATGCAATACCAGAAATTAAACATGATATAGCTAACATATCAGTAATAGGAGCTAATAAAATAAAGGTTGAATAACTTCTTATGCAAGCGCAAATAAATTATTAACAGCACAGTCATTAACGGATAAACAATACGATACATACATTCCAATATTTTTTACTCACGTAAAGGGGGTCATAAGGCAAATAGATTTAGAATTATCGGAACAGGAATTAAAAGAAATTATTGAACCGAAATTAGGATATAATTTTGAAGTAAGTCTCGTAAAAAGAATTTCATGTAAAAATGACAAAAATGAAATTGTTCCAACAACTACAATTATAGTTACATTTAGAGGTCAACTTTTACCCAATAGGGTAATAATAGAAAAAATAGTGTATGAACTCGAAAGATACGTGCCAAGAGTAATGCAGTGTCTTAAATGTCTAAGATACGGCCGTATTAGTACACAGTGTAGATCAGAAGAACGCTGTCAAAATTGTGGAGAAGATCATAAAGTAGAAAGTTGACAAAAAAATGAACCAATATGCATTTATTGTAAAGAAAAGCATTGCGCCACTGATAAAAAAATTGTTCAGAATTTAGTAGACAAAAGAGTATAAAAAAACTATGGTCTATGAAAATTTATCATACGCTGAGGTTTCTTCTAAGCATGAAAGAAGTTTTTCAAATGTAGCAAAAACTGACACAAATTCAAACCGCTATACTGTAACTTTAAAAAGAAAGGTTAGCTATGACCCCAGAGATCGATGAAACATTCGAAAAAACAGAAATAATTTCAAATCCCAAAATTTTAACATAACCTGTTTTCAATCAATTTAAAAATATATCAAATTATAATAATAGTTGTGATGATACTAGCACTTTAAGTAAACAGATAAAAACTTGCGAATCAATATTAAATCTTATCTTAACGTTTTCAAATGTAGAAATTAAAAATAGTACACTTATTGCAAATATAAAAGACAGTATAACGCAAATTCTATCAGACTATGAGTAACTTAAATATACTGCAATGGAATGCTACATCAATTTTGTGTAATAAAGGTCACTTTGAAAAATACATTTTCGATAATAAGATTAAAGGAATCTTCACATTTTTTTATTAATAATTTTAATATAATTAGACACGACCGTAATGACGTTTATGGAGGAGTTGCAATCTTATTAAGAAAATACCTTACCTTTTTTCCTAAGCCAACATTTACTCCAATAAAGTCCGTGGAATGTGTGTCGGTATCAGTGTCAATAAATAAAAATATCAAAATCCATCTATACTCTATATACGCCAAACCAAAACTAAACATTAGATAAACAATTTGGGTACCTTTTTTGATAGCCTAGAAAAGCCATTTTTGGTAGGAGGTGATTTCAATTGTCATCATACTGAATGGGGAAATAGTTATTCAGGTATATTGGGTTCAAGGCTTCTCGGTGCTATAGAGGAGTGTAATTTAAATTATTTAAATACAGGAAGCGAAACATTAATACCTAGATTTGGAAGTAATAATAAATCTGCTGTAGATATAACCATATGATCTAGAGATATAACTTTAAATTGTGATTGGAAAACTGATATTATACCAATAAGTATTTCCAATCATTTTCCTGTTCTAATTGAAACACATTTTAATACTACTCAACTATCCTTTAAGTGTAAAAACAAAGTTAATTTAAATAAAGCTGTCTGGTCCCTTTTCTCTCAGATAGTATATGAACAATTAGATGAAAGTAATAACGAAAGATCTTATAAAAGTTTTATAGAGTCACTAAATCATGCTACAAAACTAGCAATCCCACAGAAGAGAACAGAGATCAAATCAGAATTTAGCAAAGTTAGGTGGAATCAGAGATGTGCAAATGCCATTAAATGTCAACAAGAAGTTTTTTTGCTTTACAAAAGGCAGTCAAATTTAACTATAACTATTTAAAATATAAAAATTCAGTACCAGTCGCAAAAAAAATAATATTACAAAGCAAAAAAGATTCTTGGCAAAATTTTTGTAAACAACTTTACAGAAATACACATATAAAAGATATATGGAAATATATAAAGAAAATAAAAAATACATTTAATCCTCAAAACAAATAGGATCCAGGTAGGGGAGTGGGTAGAAATGTTTTTTAATAAAATTGCTCCAAGTTGGGTGGAAACAAATATTCAGCCGATTAGTTCACTGTGCACGGATGATATAGATAGGGAATTCTCAAGTATGGAAATAAAACAAAAGCTCAAAACTAACAATCATACAGCGCCCGGAGTTGATAACATTTATGCTCGCTAATTTGTCAGAATCAAGTATAGAAATTTTTCGCAAAATAATAAATACAACATGGAATCGGGCAGAATTTCCAACAAGCTGGAACGAATATTCAGCAATCACAATTCTAAAGCCAAATGCGGAAGATCCAGATTCATATAGAGCAATTTCTCTAGCTTCTTGTGTCTTAAAAACTTTAGCAAAAATGATCAAAGTCAGACTAGTTCATTGGCTTAAAAACAATAAAAAATTACCTAAATTGCAGTTTGGCTTCAGAAGAGGATGTTCAACCATTGAAAATATAGGTAACCTAGTAAGTGATATAAATATCGCTTTTACTAACAAGAAATTACTTCCAGCAATTTTTGTAGATATAGAATCAGCATATGATAATGTAATATTAGACATTTTCTATGAAAAAATGGGAATTTCTCAAGCTTTGACCTTACATATCAGATTACTATATTCCGATAGAACAGTTTCAATAAATATAAATGATGAAATATTGGGACCTAAAACGACTTACCACAAGGAAGTATACTTAGCCCTGTACTATACTTAATATATACAGCAGATCTGGAATGTAAAATTAAATGTGAGACTATTTCTATACTACAATTTGCCGATGATATTTGTATATATTCACCATGTAGAATGTATATATTGAAGAAGGGTGCAAAAAATTAAATATAGCTTATAAGAACCTCAATAAATGGTGTAATGAAAATGGTCTAAAAATTTCCAGGAAAAAAACAGAAGTTTGCCTTTTCACGAGAAAAATAAAAAACATTCCAACTGAATTAACATTGGATACAACAAAGTATAGCGTACGTGCATCAGTAAAATACCTAGGAATGTATCTAGATAAAAAAATGACATGGAAAAATCACATAGATTATCTAATCAAGAAAACAGAAAAAGGAATTAACATCTTACGGTCAGTATGTGAAACAAACTGGGGATCAGATCCAAATGTAGCAACCCTGTACAAATCCTACATTAAAAACCTACATACAAAAAGTCAAGTAGAAAAAATAGACCACGTAGTAAATAAGCGTCTAAGACTATGCCCAGGGGCTTTAAAAAGTACACCAATTGATTGTTTATTTGCAGAATTAGCGGAAACTCCACTAAAATATCGCCGAAAGATTTTAGCTTCCAATTTTATAGCTAAATTAAGCTCCAAAAAAAGCGACTTAGTCCAAAAAATTAATATACTGTTGACATCGGATCTTACCCATAGTTATTGGAGGTCGAAAAAAAGTTTAACTATTACAGAGTCATATTATGTAATACATAACGTAATAGAAGAAATACACTTGTAATAAATAATATTGTGGGGTAGTAAATAATATGTTGTTGTAACTTAGTTGACCATTTATTTAACACTACTGTACACTCTTTAATGTTACTTAATCTAAATATTTCAGTACTTAATTGACGCTGACTATATGCGGCATTAACTTGCCATTTTGACGGTACATTAATTAAGATCCCCGAGCATGATTGGTGTTGCTTTTAATAGCCTCGGCCTTGCTGGCTCAGCGCTCTTGTTACTATTCGTGTCAAGTGTATTCCCTGACCTACACCACAAGTAAGTCGTGCAATTTTACTAGAGTGCTGACTGGCTGTTTTAATTAGAGTATGTTATATATGAATGTCCTCGATTTAAATTACCAAATGTTTACATAAACAAAATGTTACACGAGTATGAATTATAATATTATTTTATCTGTAATTCTGATATTTAAGGGTTGATATTACACCATCACCTTTACGGAAAAAAATTTCTCTTTTGCAACTGTCTCATTCCTCTCTCTCTTTCCCTTTGGAAAAAGAGAAATTTTGCAACCTCAAATAAGTACTGTTTACCTATGCTACCGTATACATATTTATACAAATGTTGGTATATTTTCCTTACATTTATTAAAAATTTAGTAACCTAACCTTACCTCAGCATATTATAAGGTTACCCTAATTGTTCCCTTGTAATATGCTATCTGGTATCCTTCATTATGCCCTTCTCGTACGTTTTTCTTATCTTACGTTCAATCATTTAGATTATATTATTACCTTATATTACCCCCTTTTATGTGCACATAATTTTTACAATAACCTTTACATATTTTACATAAATAAATTTATAATAAAAAAATCTTATAATAATTCTTATGTTAATGCTTGCATTAATTCTTGTAATGATTCTTGGTACCAAGTAATTGTTTTGTTTTCACATATACACGATTAGTCACTTTGACATCTCACAATAAAGTTTTATCATTTTATCTATTTATTCATTTATCCCTATTTATTTTGTTTACCTGCTGTACAGTCTAACATTTTTCTTTTGCTATACACATTTAAAAACATATATTTTGTACGAACTTAAAACTATATTTACACATTATATTCATTTAAAATAATCTCTATATTATATTATTTGCATTCAAAAGTACATGTATATATTACGAGTATATTCATTGACTCTAATTGTAGCAAAGTATTGCTTCCTTAATTATTCTAGCTATAAAATCTGTGCCTTCGTCTGCTATTATTTTTCTGGGTACTCCATACCTCAAGATAAATTTTTCTACCAATGATTTGGCTACTGTTTCATTTTCTATTACATATTCTTCTGCGTAGTTGCTTAATTCGCATTGTACGTCAGTATGTCTGTTTCCATTTTCATCCATGTACATTTCCATTCCTTGTTTATGATTTAGTGCTTATGCCTTTGGCAGTCGTCGCATCTCTTCACATTTCACTTATTTCTCAACATTTCTTCGTAATTCGTTCCAGAAATAGTATTTCCTTATATTTCTGTATTTAATATATATCCTATTTATTTTTCCATTATCTTGTACTATATTATGTATTGATTGAATTATGTTTATCTTGTACTATACAAGCTTTTATACTTTCTTAAAAAAATTATTATTTTTCTCTTCGTATTTCATTAAGAATTGGCTGATTCTTATTTTTCATCTCTTCTTATTCTAATTTTTCATTATTATCATTTCCTTTATAATCTTCTGCATTCATATTTGTCTCCTAATGCTATTCCTGAAGCATAAATTCTTAACCTAAATTTGTTTTTCTTTGATAAATCGGGGAATTATATAACGGGCTTATTAGCTAACGGGGATATGCCTTGAGCTTAATAAATGCTTCTTGACATTCAGTAGTCCATTAAACGTTATTTTTTCTAGATAGTCTGTTACGTGGTGCGGCTATTTCTGTAAAATTGA